ACACGCACCCTAACTCTGAGCTACATTCTTAGTCCCCTTCAGCAAATACATTGTTGTATTTTGGCACTTAGTAGATACTTAGCAAATAAGGAAAGGATGGATGGATGGATGCTCCTTATATCACAAATCTTCCAGAATTCACCTGAGAGTAAAAAGAAAATATAGAAAAATGGATTCCTAGTACAGAAAGGGTTGTTTTAAATTGCTGAATGAATGCATCAGAGTTTTGCACAAGAAAACTAAGTGAAGAGCATACACTGCAAAGCCTACTTACTAAGCTTCTCTCTTCTCTAATATTCTTCTCAACTGTTTGGCTCCCTTTCTGCTGTATCTTATTCTTCCCTACTGTATATTCCCATCCTCATTTCTGTTTTTCTTGTTTGTATGGGTCTCTGCACCCGATTTTCTCTCTTGTAAAACATGGCATGCATTTTTAAAACTAAATATACAGAATTGTATACATATTTAATATATAAGATTTTGTTCTGTTTCTAATTCTAAAAATAATTAAGGTACTTTATTTTTTTTCTTTAAGAAACAAACCCCCAAAATTACTCTTTACTTTTCCAAGACATCATTTCTTTTTATTTCCCCTGCAGTTCTTATATAGAAGGGGGAAAAGCTTTCTACTCCTAATTTAGGATTCTAGCTTATGAAGTATTTTAAAATTTATCTTAGGTTCCTTCCTCTTGCAAACTCACTTCTGGACATATTCTTTTACTTTCTTCATTAAGCAACATAATTTTAGGTATTTCTTTAATTGCTTTCATGTTCATTTGAGGTCCTCTTCAAAGGGTTGCATGAGTTTATAGCTGCCTAAATGCAAAGAGCCTTTTCTTGGAAATTATCTTGTAAAATTATTTTAATAGTATAACTTCTTTGTGCAGTTCTCAATATTACGATTATTGTGTAGTATACACAATATGCATTCTTTTTAGAAAAGTCAAACTTTGAGTGATGTATGGAATTTGAAGACATAACAATCTGATATTATCAACTTTTTAAAATTATTTATTATTTTAATACTAAATAATTTAAAAAATATTATTAAAATAAATAATTTTAAAATTATTTTATTCTCACCTTTTAAAAATTATTTATTATTATTTTTTAATGTTTTTTTTTTTTTACTATTTTATTTCTGTTTTGGTACTGGGGATTGAATCCAGGGTTACTTTACCACTGAGCTACATCCCCCACCCTTCTTATTTTTTCCTTTTGAGACGTAGTCTCTCTAAGTTGCTGAGACTGGCCTTGCAACCCTTCTGCTAAGCCTCCCAGGTTGCTGGGGTAACAGGAGCCACTGTGCCTGCCAGGTTTTCCCCTTTAAAAAACTGTAAACCAATAAATATAAATACCTCTTTGTTTCATGTTTTCTTTAAATAAGGAAGAAAAATATTTTTACATATTATTTCAGTGGCTTTTAAAAAATCTGTTCCCACTAGAGGAAACATTCTTTCTCTCTGATTTTTATTCATAGCTTTTATGTATTTATTTTCCAGAACTGCTAAATATAAGGTAAAATGTCTAGGATAGAAATATGTTCAGATATAATGGGTAGGACATGTCAAATGTACACTGGTCTTTTTATTTGGATTTTACCTGTGTCCATGTCAAAATTGGGGTTAAACCATATTTCTTAGCAAGATAAATGAACTTGATCAGATAAAGTATCACAAATATCCCATCATCATATTATTATTTGGCTTGTGCTAGTTACCATTTTCAAACTAGTGATTGTCTGAACTTCCTTATAATCTGGTATGACTGAAGCTATATAATTAAAACAACAAATTGCATATTTTATTATTTGGTTAACTCAGGTTTTGCAGGAAAATAGTATATGGAGTCTATATCTTTCTTTCTTTTCTTTTCTTTTGGTGCTAGGCAGCTCCTCCTCACCACCACCCAACCCTAACAATTATTTTTAATCTAATAGATCTCAGTGCTGAAAAGACAACCAGTGGTCCTCCAGCCTTGACTCTCAAAGCAAAACTTTATTGCAAATATTGTTTCTGTCCAATACTTTTCTATAGGAACTTTAATTCTTAATATCTTAAATATAACTTATTGATTTCTCATCAGAAGCAACTTAAGTCTTTCTGTGAAGGAATCAATAGTTTTACATATGCCACTTACTCTGTTTCAGCTTTCCCTGAGGCTCCAGGTATTACCACTTCTGTTAATCAAGAGACTTGAGCAAAGAGCTAACTTGTTTTCTTTAGTAGAAACTTTTAAGTTACCTGTAGTTAACACTAAAGGAACAAGTTTTGTTATTCTGTTCCATAAAATGACATAAATTCTTACAGGTATACATAGAAGGGACTGTTTTAAGTGGGAAACCTGATGTCTTTCTCAAAGCTAAATGAGAGTGAGTGATTCTGTGCGCATGGAGTAGGGAGAGTAGGCTTCTGTTGAGAAACTGTGGCAAATGCCTCTGTACTTTCATTTAGAGACTTTCATGTCAAAGATAATATGAAGTCTTCTATAAAATTAAATATTAGCTGGGTGTGTTGGCATATGCCTGTAATCCCAGGCACTCAGATGGCTTAGGAAGGAGGATCACAAATTTGAGGCCATCCTTGGCAATTTAGTGAGATCCTGTTTCAAAATTAAAAAAAAAAAAGGGGGGGGGGCTGGGGATGTAGCTTGGTGGCAGAGTGCCCTGGGTTCAATCCCCATGTGCTGGGGGGAAAATGACACAAGAAGTTTGTGACTACATAAGGAATCGAAGGACAGGATTTACAGCTGTTATAAGCAGAGCGAGAAAGGACAGCAGACAGATAGACACACACACACACACACACACACACACACACAACCCTGTCTAGACTTCTTGCCTCATTAATTATGAAATCTGACTTGTATTTTGAGAAAACTGTTGAAAATTTTAATGTTTGTATTAGAAATAATGACCTTGAGTAATATGTCTTTCATTGTTTAAGCATCTAGAAAACATACATATAGAAATGATACCACAAAAATAGTTAATCAATTAAACAACAACAACAACCTGTTTCTTTTTTCTTTATTTTGTGGGGAGGATTGGGTCCTGGGGATTGAACCCCATGGTCTCTCACATGCTCTAACACTGAATTCCACCCCCAGCCAAAAACCTCTTTCTTGGCTGAGCTTGCCTGTCAGTGATAGAATGCTTGCTTTGTGTATACAAGGCCATAGATTGGATCCCCACAATGCTGGGGGTAGAGTGGGTAGGCTTGTTATTTAAAGACTTAATTATTACTAGATTCAGCTGTGCTATGATTTGGATATGAGATGTCCCTGAAAAGCTCATATGTTAGATAACACAAGAAAGTTCAGAGGTAAAATAATTATATTATGAGAGCTCTAACCTAATCAGTGGATTAATTCACTTGATATAAGAAAATTTTGAGCAGATACTGGGTGGCAACTGTAGCATCTGTAGGCAGAGTGTGACTGGAGTAGGTAGGTCACTGGGGGTGTGGCCTGGAATACTATTTGTTGATGGTCCCTTCCCTTCTCTCTCGGCTTCCTGGCTGCCATCCGCTTAGTGGCTTTCCTCCATCATGCTCTTCTGTAGTAATGTTCTGCTTCACCTTAGGCCCAGACCAATGTAGTTGGCTGACCATGCACTGAACCTCTGAAAACTGTGAGTCCAGAATAAATGTTTCCTCCTCTTATGTTGTTCTTGTCAACTATTTTGGTCATAGTGGCAAAAATCTGACTAACACAAGCTAGGCTATAAGTAAAACCTAAACCATTTAGTGAACCATTTAGATGGTTTCAAATTAAATCAGAAGAATAGAGTAGATAAGGGACAAGCACCATCAGTTTCTTTTTATTGACACTGGGTAGTGCCGCCTCACACAATTACCTTAGCCTTTGTTCATTTACATATGTCAGTAAGGATCTATACCATGGCAAACCCACAGAGTAATGTCAGACAGGCCACACACTAAATAAGTTAGTGTGCAGAACTGATTTTACTTTCCTGGCCTCTAAACTCATATACTACATTTGTCAAGGTTATTATATCCAGTAATTAAATAGACATTTATTCCTGTTCAATATTTTTAGTGTTCTGCTTAAAGCATTGTCATGAATGGAAGCTATTTTGAATAGGTAAACTTGGAAATATATCATCTTCTTGCTCAAATATTACCTTTTTATATTAAGCTAAATTTTGCTCAGTTTTTCTCCATAGCTTCATAATCTACTTTGTTTTTATGCTGTTCATCACCCACTAAAATGTTAGCTCCTTGGGGATAGGGCTTGATTTTTTTCAACCCAAGAAACTAGAACATATTACATGGTGTGCATGCAGAAGATTCCTCTGGGAATATATTTAAGAATGAATTATAATATCATAGAAAGTATACATGTTCAATTTGTTCAAAGTGATTTGGCTGAGGTATACGTTTATCAGCAAGGTCTAAATTATTTCTGTATTTTTTTTTTTTGTGTGTGTGTGTGTGTGTGTGTGGTGTTACTGGGGGTTGAACTTTGCATCTATTGGGTAGGGACTCTTCTCTACCACTGAACTGCTTCCCCAAACCATTTCTTTCAGTCTTGGTCTTTGTATCATATATCATATGATTACTAGTTTTTCAGATGTGAAATGATAGCTCATCATGGTTTTATTTGCACTCTTTTCTTCTTTATAAAGTAATAGGAATTGATCTCAGGGGTGTTCTACCATTGAACTACCTTCCACCTCTTTTTATTTTGAGATGGCCTCACTAGTTGCCAAGGCTGGTTATGAACTTGTAATTCTCCTGCCTAAGCCTCCAAAGTTACTGGATTATAGGTGTACACCACCATGTCAGGCTTATTTCCACATGTTTTTGATGAGTAAGGAGATTGTCTTTTTCATATGTTAATTGGATATTTGTGTTTGTTCTTTGAGTACTCATTGACAGTTTGCCTTTTTAAAATTGGGTGTTAGTCATTTTCCTATTGATACATCGGAGTTTTTTTTTTTTTTTTGAGAGAGAATTTTAATATTTATTTTTTTTTAGTTTTCAGTGGACACAACATCTTTGTTTGTATGTGGTGCTGAGGATTGAACCTGGGCTGCACGCATGCCAGGCAAGTGCATTACCGCTTGAGCCACATCCCAAGGCCCTACATCGAAGTTTTTTTCTTTTCTTTTTTTGGTACCAGGGATCCAGGGATTGAACCCAGAGGTGCTTAACCAATGAACCACATCCCTAGTCCTCCCCTACTCCCCCTTTTTTTTTTTATTTGAGACAGGGTCTTACTAAACTGCTGAGGCTGACTTTGAATTTAGGATCTTCCTACCTCAGACTCCGGAGCTGCTGGAATTTGGCTCGGAGTTCTTAATGTATTATAAATAACAAACTTTGTTATGTATGATATGTATATTGTACATATCATTAGTTTGTGGACCTTGTCTTTTCAGTCACTGTTGAGTGTTAAAAGATGAAGAAAAAGTCTTATTGTGGTTGAATCTATTATGATATAGACTGTCGGGGGAGCAATGGGGAGAGAGATTGATTTAAGAAATCATTTCCTACTCTGAGTTCTTAAAAGTACTTTTCAATATTGCCTTCTGGAAATCCCCCCCCCCCTCCCATTTTTTGTTTGCATTTGTTTTTAAACCATGTGGAATTGATTTTTGTGTCTGGGATATGGGTCCAATATGAGTAATCACCTTTCAAATACCATTTACTGTCTTCCTTCCCTGCTCTCCCCCATGATCTGTACTGATGTTGCTGTCATGAAACAGTCCTCAACATAGTGCATTTGTTACTGGGCCTTGTATTTTCTTCCATAGGCTGACTTGTCTCTATGCCAGGGTCATTCTTTTGTAACTATTACAGCTTTATTATTCATCTTTGTATTTATTATTGCAGTTCTGATAAACATTAAACAAGTCCTTTCATTTTATTTTTCTTTAGGGATCTTTTGACTGTTCCAGGTCCTTTGTAATCTGCTTAAAAAATTGAGCCAGTTTATCATGTTCCACAAAAAATTCTTTTGATTAGAATTTTTTTACTAAGAATTCCTATCTTTGTTTAGATTTAGTCATAGGCATTTTAAAAAAATGCTGTTGCAAATGGCCTGTTTTTTAAAATTGTAAAATGTGTGGGATATATATATATGTATACACACACAACATAAAACTTAGCATTTTAATCCTTTTGAGCATACAATTCAGGGACATTAAATATATTTACATTGTTGTACAACCATCACTACATATCTAGCTCCAGATAGTTCCACCTCTCCATCACCTATCTAAAACAAAAATCTGTAACCATTAAATAATAACTCCTAATCTCTGATAATCACTAATTTACTTTCTTTCTTGGAATTTGATTAGGCAGAATTGTAAATGATAGTTTTTAATAATAGTTTTTCTCTTTTAAAGTGAAAGAAATAATCATGTTTTCTTAATCGGTGCCTAGAACTGTTGCTTAATATTTAATTCTAGTAGTTTGGCTATGTGTGGGTTTTGTGCATAAACAGGCATATCACACATAAGTAGAAGACTTTCTACTGTTAAACCTGCCCATTGAGTTTTAACTTTTAAGTTTTTTAAAAAAATTTGAAGTCCTTTGGTTCATATGTAGATCTGCAGGCTGCCTCTTCAATCTTCTTTCTTTCAATGTATTAAGAATTGTTACTTATTATCCAATTTTGATATGAACTGTGACAATCTGAATCTGCTAGTTCTGCTAGTTTTTTCTGAGGTAGTTTTATTTCTTCTGTGTACTTGCTGAGTTAAAGCCTACTCATTCCTCAGAAGGTTATTCCTGCCAGATCTTGCTGGCAATACTAATATAAGATGGGCTTTAAATTCTTTTAGATGGGGGGCTGGGTACTGAGGATTAAATCCAAGGGCACTTTACCACTGAACTACATCTTCAGCCCTTTTTATTTTTTATTTTGAGACAAATTCTGACTAATTTGTCAGAATTTAGGCTGGTTTTGACGTCGGGAACTTCCTGCTTCAGCCTCTCAAGTTACTAGAATTATAGGAGTGTGCTACCACACCTGGCTACTTTAAATTCTTCACTCAGGTTTTTTATAATGGTTTAATTTGGGCTCTAAACCTGTAAGAGGACTGCTTTGTGATTAAAATTTTTCAGTTTTTTTTTTTTTTTTTTTGGTTGTTGTTGTTATCCCCCCCTGCCTATCCTCTATGTGGGAATGGGGGAGCTTCACTAGAGGAATTTTTGTAATTCCCTTAGGAGGATTTCTCACCCATATATTGAAAGTATATTAAGTCTCAGTTTTATGAGGAAACTTCTTATAGATACCCACCTTTACCAGCTTTTAATCTTTGTTTCTTACTCTTTGTCCTACAATGCTATGGAAATCTAAACTCATTTACTCAGCCATAAAGACAAATGAAATTGTCATTTGAAGGAAAATTGATGGAACTAGAGATCATTATGTTAAGTGAAATAAGTCGAACTGAGAAGGTCAAGGATTTTATGCTTTTTTTTATATGTGAAAGATAGAGAGGAAAAAGGAAAAGAAACATGAAAAAAAGAATTCCAAAGAAGAAAGGGACTAAGGGGGTGAAGGTGTGTGTGGGGGATACGTTCAAGGGAGTGCTGTTGGCCAAATTATATTGTTATATTGTGTGCATGTATGAATATGTAACAACAAATCCTGTCATTATATATGACTAGAAGACTCCAATAAAAAAATGTGTGAAAAAAAATCTCAACTCAGATTTTTACCTGCTTTGGCAAATGCTCTTGGGCTGAAAGCTCTTTTTAATACTTTAGTTACCAGTTTCTCCTTACCTTGGTTTTTACTCTCTTGTTAACCTATCACGACATTTATTTGAGGGACTTTCACATTTTATGTTTTTTTTTTTTGGCCGGTGGGGGGATTATTGGGGATTGAACTCAGGGGCACTTGGTCACTGAGCCACATTCCCAGTCCTATTTTGTATTTTATTTAGAGACAGTTCTCCCTGAGTTGCTTAGTGTCTCATTGTTGCTGAGGTTAGCTTTGAACTTGTGATCCTCCTGCCTCAGCCTTCCGAGCTGCTGGGATCACGGGCGTCTACCACCATGCCAGACTTTTAAGTTATTTTTATTTGGAGTACAAATTTGCTATATACCATACTGCTGGAAATTCCCATGTCATTTTATTATGTTGTTTTTAGTCATTTGGAAGGGATACTTGGGGTAAAATTAATCATAAACACTTATAAAAATGAAAAGTGACCTTTAATAACTGCTAATTAAGGATTTTTTTTTAATAGGTGTCAGCTGTGATGCATGTTTAAAAGGCAATTTTCGAGGTCGCAGATACAAGTGTTTAATTTGCTACGATTACGATCTTTGTGCATCTTGTTATGAAAGTGGTGCAACAACAACAAGGCATACAACTGACCACCCAATGCAGTGCATATTAACAAGGGTAGATTTTGGTAAGTGTTTAAAAAAAAGTTTAATAAATGGTCATTTAGAATTTTATGTGTGCATGAAGAAGCAAAGGCAAAATGTTTTAAAACTATCTTTAATGGCAAATATGGTGGCTAAAATTCATTAAAAATAAATTGTGCCATTGTATTCTAAGTATTTCTGTCTCTAAATCATAGTTTATGTTTTTGTGAAGCCATTTCAATAAATACATACCTGGCAAGGTATGAAATAGAAAAGTGCTTTAATAAAGAAGGAATAAAATCAAACTATTCTCATCAGCAGCACAGAAGTACTAGTTCTTGGTCTAGTTATTAGAATGCAGATCATTTCTACAATTTATTAGGGGTCATTGTTCATCTATAAGAAAAGCTATAATATTTCTGCTGTGATTTCTTACCTAGCCAAAACTTGTTATTAGTATTTTTTTGGTCATAGCTCTTCTTAATAATGGATATGAAGTAGTATCTCAAGTGCTTTTGATTTGCATTTCAAAATCGAGACTGGCCTTAGACTTTGGATACTTCTGCCTCAGCCTCCTGAGTGGCTGTAATTAGAGGCACATACCACTGCCTGGCAGAATTTTTTGTATAGGGAGTTGAGGTAGAGTGTCAGCGTTTTTTCTTTTGCGTATCTAGTTCTTTTGGATATCTTGTTGCCCCCAGCATCATTAAAGAATCTGTTCTTTTTAAAGAATATATTCTTTTTTAAAAAATACATATATACTTTTGATTTTTTAAATTTTTATGTGGTGCTGAGGAACGAACCCTGGGCCTTGCATTTGCAAGGCGAGTGCTTTACCGCTGAGCCATAACCCCAGCACCAAGAACCTATTCTTTAGCCAATGAATTGTCTTGGTACTTTTGTTGAAAGTAAATTGACCATTAATGAGGTTTATTTCTGTTTATTCAGTGTATTCCATTGGTCTGTATGTTTGTTTATGCCAGGCCTACACTATCTTTACTTCTATAGTTTTAAAGTAAGTTTTGAAATTGTGTGTGGGTCTTCCAATTTTTATTCCTTTTCAGGATTATTTTGGTTATTCTTGGCTCTTTGAGTTTCTGTGTGAATTTTAGGATCAATTTGTCAGTTTTTGTAAAGAAACCACCAGGGATTTTGATGGAGATTGTATTTAATCTGTAGTTTAGTTTGGAGAGTCTTAATAATATTAATAACTATAATAATTAATACTAATTAAATTGATGGCCAGTGAACATAGATATCTTTTTTACTTATTTAGGTATATACTTTCTTTTGACAAAGTTTTATAGTTATCAGCATACATTTTGCACCTGCTTAATTGTATTCCAAAGTGTTTTTTCTTCTTTTCGTTTTTATAATTAAAATTGTTTTATTTTGGAGTAGTTATTACAAATGTATAGAAAAGTAATTGATTTTTATATATAGATCTTGTATCCTACACTTTTGCTGAAATTCTGATAGTTTTTTATTTGATTATTTAGAATTTTCTATAAACAAGGTCATGTCATCTACAGATATAGTTAGGTCATTTTACTTCTTCCTTTCATTTTCTCTGGTTAGATCCTCTAGTAAAATACTGAATAAAAGTGACAAGAGTAAACACCCTTATCTTGGATCTTAGGGGGAAAAGTATCCAGTCTTTTACCAGTGATATAATGTTTTTTTAATAAATTTATTCTAATTTGTTATACATGACAGCAGAATGCATTTCCATCCTAGTACAAATGTAGAGCATAATTTTTCATGTCTCTGGTTGTTCACAAAATAGAGTCACACCATTTGTGTCTTTATATATGTACTTCAGGTACATGTATGAAGAATGAGATATCCATCTCATTCCACCATCTGGTTGTGAGTTTTTGATAGATATCCTTTATTGGGTGAGGAAATTCTGTTCTTTTTATATACATATTCTTTCTTTCTTCTCAACCGCCCCAAATTTGCCTAGTGAATCTTGTTATCATAATAAACTGTGTCTGTCTGTCTGTCTCTCTCTCTCATATATATTTACATACACACATATATGTATATATATATATATATATTTAGAAAGTTTACAGCCCCTAAGGAATAAACAAATGTGTATCATGTAGTGAACACTTCCATTTTTTTCTCCTTATAAAAGTTATCTTATGCTGTTCTCTTAAATATGGCCTGTTTAATGTTAAAGAAATAAATATGTATGGGACTGGGGATGTAGGTTAGTGGCAGAGCACTTGCATGAGGCCCTGGGTTCAGTTCTTTGTAGTAAAGTAGAGTTGTACAGCATATTAAATATACTTTGATTTTCTTTTGTGCTACAAGTGGAGAAAAGTAGACTTATTTCCTAAGATAAACTAATGAAGCAAACAGATTATTTCCACAGACTCTGTCTGGGTAGTTCTTTTGTAACTTATTTGGGCAGAGTATATTGTGGTAGTACCCTATTCAAGTTCATATCCACAAAAATTGAATGCCTAGGATACTTTCTGCTCTAAGAATTTTATGTTCCGCAGACAAATAATTGCATCTGATAGTTGTCTATTGATCATAGAGGTCTATTCTTTCCCTCTGAGTACTTGTATATAGTACATTTTCCTGAATCTTATCTTGATATTATCGTTGCCACAGAAGGTAGAGAGAGAAGGAAAAATTAATTACCATTAAATTAGATACACATGTGGAATGATCACTTTCAAAGTTATATGAAGAGGAGTTCATTAGCTTTTTGTCATTGTGACAAAATAACCGAGATTATCAATTTAAAAGGAGAAAAGATTTATTTTGACTCATAGTTTCAGAGGTTTCAGTCTATGGATATTTGACCCTTTTGTTTTGGGCCTGTGTTGGCAGGAGCACATTATGGCAGGAACACATAGTGAAGGAGGCCTAGTCTCCTCATGACAAGCTGGGAAGCAAAGAGAAAGAAAAAGGGGCTAAGATCCCAAACCTCCCTTCAAGGGCACATCCTCAGTGACCCATCCCGCTAGCACCACAGGCTGGTCAATGAGCCTTTATACACATGGGCCTTAGGAGGATTTTCAAACTATAGCAGGGAGAAAGTAGTTTGCTTTGTTTTCTTTGCCAGGTGTAGTGGGTTATCCAGGGAAAGAATTTTTGGGAAGAGTAGTCTGTTGCCCTGTGGGAATAAAAATGTTTGAAATGTAAACAAAGAGGGATTTAAGCACTCCATGGCAGAGTGAGGTGGATAATTCAGATGCACTTTTTTCTTTATTGTAACATATGGTTATGTTTTTATATACTAAAAATTTATTAATAATTATATCTCAATTCAATTCTACTTTATTTTTCAGATTTGTACTATGGTGGGGAAGCTTTCTCTGTAGAGCAGCCACAGTCTTTTACTTGTCCCTATTGTGGAAAAATGGGCTACACAGAGACATCTCTTCAAGAACATGTTACTTCTGAACATGCAGAAACATCAACAGAAGTGGTATGTGAAGCAGTCTTTTGTCTAAAATGATATTGTGAAGAATGTTATTCCTAACATTGATAAAGTAAGGTCATTATTATCTATCTCTTACTTAGTATATTGATAATTTTAATAAATGTAATGTAAACACTATCTTTTAACAGAAATTTTACAACTTGAGGAGGCTGCATTCATGATATTTGTTCATCTTAACCTTTAATTACTGTGTTGCTGACAGCATAGCATGAAGTCTTGGCCAAATTCAGAAGAGCTTTATTAAATGCTTTGTGAAAAGGTTGAACAGATCCCAGCCAACCTTCAGTGCATCTCTTTTTTAAGTATTGTTCATTTTACTACAAACTTCATTTTTCTTATATAAGGAACTTTTAACAGGATATTTAAAAATCTATGGTTGTATATTAAATAGTAATCCATTGTCCACTCATTGTAGTGGATCACTGACTTCTTTAGTTTTTTCATCAGATCAAATCTTGTTTGCTAGGCAAGAACTCTATGCAGTCCCTCAATTCTTCCTTCCTAATCTTTTTCAATAATGTAAAGTCAAAGACACCGAATAATACACAAAGTGTTACCTTAAAAGCCTTTTGGAGTTTATATCTATTTTTTAGTTGTCAATAGATCTTTATTTTATTTATTTATATGCGGCACTGAGAATTGAACCCAGGGCCTCACACATGCTAGGCAAGCACTTTACCACTGAGCCACAACCCCAGTCCCCTTTTGGAGTTTTTTTCAAGAAATGATGAATATACACAAAAGAGTCTCTCTCCCACCTCTTTACTATTGCCAATAAGAGGTAAATGAAGACTGTATATGGAACTGTAGGTAATGAATTTGAGGAATTTTGGTACAAACAATTGCATATATATCAACTGATAAGCCCCCCAATGTACTTGGAACAAATAAAGTACCATTTTCAAGGACATGCAGGTATTTGAACTCAGCCAGAGGCCCTCTGGGTTTTAGGGTCTCTCCTTGACTCTGTTACAACTCTCATATTTAGACTAAAACATTTACCTTTATTTTCATGGACACCACCAGGTAAGTGCTTAACATTGTCATAAACTTATAGTTTAAACAATTGGTGAATTTATTTTTATGGTCCTCAAGCCAGATTTTATTGTCTACTGGTCAGAAATGTTCTCATTTTGTACATCCGGGAGCCTCAGAGCACTGTTATCACATTAATTACCTAGATTCAGTAAGTCAAGAGGTGGGAGGAGCAGGAGGTTCCCTTTTTGTATTCTTAAGATAATTATAAGCCAATAGTTCCTAGTGTAGTCCTTTCATTACCCCATTGGGTAGGACAACTACCTAGTTTTTCACATACAAAATTAGAGAATTAAGTGGAGATTTAAATCCTTTCCATGAAACCAGTCTAGGTGTCTATCAGCTGATGAAAGGATAAAGAAAATGTGGTTCATATACACAATGGGATTTTGTTCATCCATAAAGAAGAATGAAGTTATATCATTTGCAGGAAAATCGGTGGAACTTGAGATCATTATGTTAAGCTAAATAAGCCAAAATCAGAAAGCCAAGGGTAATGTTTTCTTTCATATGTGAAAGTTAGAAAGGAGAAAAAAAAAAGAAGAAGAAAGGTGTATGGGGGAAATCTCAAGGGAAAAGCAAAGGGAGACCCATAAAGTAGAGAAAAGGGACTAAGGGGAGGAAGGAGAAGAAGGAAAGAGAAATACTAGGCAACAATATTTACTAAATTATATCATTATATTGTGTGCCTGTACAAATATGTAGCAACATATTAATTGTAGTGTACCAACAAAATCCTTTCCATGGGTGAAAAACAAATTATTTATTTTTATAAATCAAAAATTAATACCCAGCAACTTTGCCTGTTCTTTTTCCTGAAAACAAATATTCAAAAATTTATTTATATTTCAATGTATCTGATACACACTTTGAAAATTAAATACCCACCATTTACAAATGGTTTTGTGTTCTGTACCCTATAACTTGTGTTCAGTTATTCACCTTCACTGAGTTTCTAAGCTTTTGGTACATAGTTTAAACAGTCACCATTCTAATTTTTCATATTGGTTTTATGAAATACTTAAAGGATTTCTTTCTCCTCATTCACCCTTAGTCTTGGCTTGAGTACTACCTACCTTTGTAACTACCCATACCATACCTCTCCATTTTAAAGTGAAAAATGGCAAGCAGACAGGATCTTTGATATAAAGTTACATGTATTTGTTTTGCTTCTTTGAATCTGTGGGTCATATCCTAATGTCAGAATTGGCATTTCAGCAAGAGTAGTATTCAAGCATGGTTCAGTGGCTAGTGTCCATTCTGAAGAATTGGTGCCCATGCCACACATACCTTTCTGTACATGTACAAAACCTGTTATTGGTTCTAACATGCCAGCCTGGGCAACTTAGCAGACCCTGTCTCAATAATTTAAGAAAAAAGGGCTGGTAGAACTGTTCTGGTACTAGGTAATAGTATTTACTAAATCATATCGTTATATTGTGTGCACGTACAAATGTGTAGCAAGTGAAGAAAAATAGAGTTAATCACATTGTTTGTGAACAGTTATATTCACATAGCAACTTGCTATGTTTTTATTTCCTTCTTTTATAAAAAAAATTCATAGCTACTATTTAAAAGATGTAACTGTGTTTTATTTAAAAGATCTTTACATGTATCATCCAGTTCACCTTCATAATAACCTTCATTAAAGAATTAGTGCTGTTTTTTTCTTTTTTACATTTTGAATGTTTATATTAGATTACATTAGGATTTAAGATGTTTTACGACAAAAGCAGAAAATGACAAACAAGAAGTATTCCAAAGAAAAACTAAAGTGAAATGAATATTGGTGCACTAAAGGACTTATAGAATTAGGATTATATTGATTTTTTAAAATTAGTTTTTAGTTGTAGATGGACACAATATCTTTATTTATTTGTTTTTATGTGGTACTGAAATTTGAACCCAGTGCCTCATATGCGAGGCAAGTACTCTACCACTGAGGTTCAGCTCCAGCCCAGGATTGTATTAAAATTTTATCAACTTATAAATAGAAAGAATTTTTAAACAGATAATGTTGAAAACACAAACTATTAAAAAAAAAAAGTAATGAAAATATCCTGTGATTTCTCTAGGCAGGGGCAAATATTAAAATCTTGATACTTATTCCAGGCATCAATCATACTATATATTAATATAATCTTAAGTTTTATGTGTAAATTTGGGCTAATATTTCACATTATTTCTTTCCTGCTTATTTTCTGTCTTTAAAAGCTGTTTGAGAAATAATTTTAAATGGCTGTATAATTCTTGATTGAGTTACCATAATTTACTTCAAAGAATATAGTGGGGTTCATTGTAACATATTCATACACGTGCATAAAATTATTTGATCAGCTTTAATTCCCAGCACCTCTCCTTTTCCTAACTCCGCCCCACTGCCTCCGAACCCCCCTTCTCAATTCTACTGGTCTCCCTTATGTTTTCCTGAATTTCCTTTAAATTTTTTTTTTCTCTCTCTACCTTCCACATATGAGAGTGAACATATAACTCATGACTTTGAATCTGGCATATTTTGCTTGACACGATATTTTCCAATTCCATCCATTTTCCTGAAAATGACATAATTTTGTTCTTTATGGCTAAATAAATCTCCATTATGTATATAAATATAAACCATAGTTTCTTTATTCATTAATCTGTTGACAGTAGCTAGGCTGTTTTTATAACTTGGCTGTTGTGAATTGTGTTGATATAAGCATGGTGTACATATGTCACTCTAGTATGCTGACTTTAATTCTTTTGGAAAAATACCAGCAGTGGTATACCTGGGCCATACAGCGGTTCTATTCCTTTTAGGCTTTGAGGAGACTCTATAACTTATTGCCTTAGTGGTTATACTCATTTTAGAGTTCCACCAACAGTGTATAATGTACCTTTTCCCCCATGAACTCATCGGCATTTAGTATTCCTTGTGTTCTTGCTGATTGTCATTCTAACCGGAGTGAGGTGAAATCTCAGTGATATCTTGATTTGCATTTCCCTAAATGCTAAAGATGTTGAACATTTTTTTGTGTATTTCTTGGCTATCTGTATTTCTTTTTAAAATTTATTATTTTATTTGTTCTTTTTAGCTATACATGACAGTATATTTTGAAATATTATACATACACGGAATATAACTTATTCTAATTAGGATCCCATTCTTGTGGTTGTAACTCTGTAGTATAATTTGAAATTTGTTATTGTGATTCATCCAGCATTGCTTTTATTGCTCAGAATTGCTTTGGCTATTTTGGGTCTTTTCTTCTTCCATGTGAATATTAGGGATTTTTTTTTTCTAGTTCTGTGAAGAATGTTATTAGTATTTGATGGATATAGCATTGAATCTGTAGATTGCTTTTTATTTTATTTTTTTTAAATTTTTTTTTTTTTTAGTTGTTAATGGACCTATAATTTATATGTGGTGCTGAGAATTGAACCTAGTGCTTCACTCGGGCTGGGCAAGTGCTCTACAACTGAGCCTGGGCTCCAGCCCCCGGTTTTTTTTTTTTTTTTTTTTTGTGGCGCTGGGGATTGAACCCTGGGCCTTGTGCTTGCAAGGCAAGCACTCTACCAACTGAGCTATATCCCCAGCCCCTTCTTTTTTTAAATGTTGTGCTGAGGATTGAACCCTGTGCCCAGCATGTGCTAGGCGAGCGCTCTATCACTGAGCCACAACCCTAGCCCCCTGATGTCTTTTGATAATATGGCCATTTTAACAATATTAATTCTGCCTAGCCATGAACATGGAAGGTCTTTTTATCCTCCAGTATCTTTTATTTTTGTCTTCAATATTGTGAAATTTTCATTCTAAAGGTCTTTCACCTCTTTGGTTAGATTTATTCCTAGGTTGTGTTTTTTTTTTGGGGGGGGGAGGGGGGTTGCTGTTGTAAATGAAATTGTTTTCCAGATTTCTTTGGTGGATTAATTATTGGTGCATAGAAAAGCTATTGTTTTTTGTATGTTGA